CCCCCCGCCGCGGGCTCCACGGGCTCAAGCTGCCCCTGAGTCCAGGGCTCCTTTGGCCTATGACACTTTTGTCTAGAATAATGTTCTACAGTCTCTCTCTGTTTTAGTTATTTTTAGTCCATATTCCAAGTTTACTTCTTATCAAGCCACTCAGAAGCTTTGCACTTCCTGCGGGAAGAACACGGTGGACGTGGTTGAGGAAAATCGTCTACCCCCTTCAGCTTCCATCTCATCCCATCCTGTACGCAGGCTTCTCCTCACTGCTTTAGTTATCCATAGCTCCTTACCTGATGCTGCTATTAACCGTTAGTCCTTAAAAAAGTACACATTTGATTATGTGAAGTGGACATAAGCAGCAATATGGTGAAGGAAAGAGTATTGCCTATGAGAGACATATGCATTTCTTTACATAGATACATAGATTTGATGGAAGAAAAGAAAATAATTTGACAGAATGAAATAATTCGACAACTAGTACCCACATGGGCACTGATTTTCCTTCATTACCAAAAGAAGAAGTATAAAAGGATACTGTAGATTATGTTGAAACTGTAGTTACCAGCAGGCAAGCCTTCAGCAAAATGCTGTATCCGATGGAGCCGACGGTACAGTTTCTTGAAAGTGGGAAAGGCAGCTGTCCGCATCCACACGATGAAGTCCTCATTGATGAGGCCATTGTTTCCTGAGTTATCTTCGTCCAGTCCATACACAGGCGTCGACCAGTATGGTGGCTTTGCAGTTCCTATGGGAGGAAAATGCACGTGGTTGAGAAAAACCATCTCCCCCCTTCGGTTTTCCTTAGATTAGAGAATGAAATAACCTTTGATTTCTTGAGGAAAGAGAAATAGAAATTAGACTTAAAAAACAAAAGTGTGTGTGTGTGTGTGTGTGTGTGTGTGTAAACTACCTGACTATGCAACCATTAAAAATAATGGTTATAAAGACACTAAGGAAATGGGGGGTAGGCATGCTGATGATATTTTCATAAGAATAAAAAAACCCAGAATATAAAATTATATGTATATTATGTGTCCAAAATGAAGCAGTGAAAAAATAAGTAGAGCAAAATAACAGCGGCCGTATTCTGTGAGAGCATCATGTTCTGTTGCATCACTGCTTCACCAGTAACCTAAAGAGAGTAAATTAAAACAAGAGACTTGATTAATAGTTAAAGAAAAAAGAATGACAACCATGGATGAGGCAGTGGAAATGGGAACTCTTGTGTAGAGCACATAGGTGTGTAGATGAACATCTTCTCTGGCAAAATACATTAAAAAAATAACCACAAAAAACCCCCATTATCTCTGGCAATCTAGGAACATGCACCAAAAGTTTTAATATATGTTGCATACATTTCGGCCTAGAAATTCTACTTCTAGGAATGTGTTCTAAGGAAATAATCATGGAAGTGCATAAAGATTGTGTTACATAGATATTCTCTGCAGCGCTGTGCCTGCCACGGAGGAGGGGTTGGTCAAGAGAGGAGGCGGAGAGCACGGGTGTTGCAGGCCTGATCTAAAGCCAGGAAGCCTGGTAGGTCTGAGTGCTGCAGCAATGCTGGAAGCACAGGGTGAGGGCCAGGGCCAGGGCCAGGAGGTGAGTCTGTTGGGTTTTCTCTTATCCTCACGCTGCCCACTTTACTGTAATGGGCATGTCTGTCTTTCTCACTCTATAGCAGACTCTTGACTACAGTGTCTTCATCTTTTTTTCACAGTCCAGTGCCTGATACACAGTAGGTGTTCAATAAATGCTTGATAAAGGGATGAGAGATTCCAATGAAAGCTTATAGAAGTTGATAATAAAAACCATATTGAATTTTAAAGAGCTAGTCAACAAGAGAAAATTGGTCAATGAACTTTTCACTTCTATAAAATGGGTTCTACTATTTGTAGGATCCAAAATGCTGAGTAGGGAGCTTTTCTGTACTTTAGCCAGAACTCATGACTCAAGGAAATGTGTCCTATGGGGCGCTGAAATCTGAATCACCCAGGGAGCATGTTAAGAACGCAGGTTCAAGTATGTTCTCCCTCACTAACCCAGATCCCACTTGAACCCATGTCTAAAAGAGCATATGGGAAGCATGGTCAAAGAGGAAACAACTTCCTTCATTTTCCAAGTTTGGTTGAGTCATTTGTAGTTGTCCATTCATTCAATAATAAGCATTTCTTGATTGCTCACTATGTACCAAGCACCAGGGATACACAACAGCATAAGAGCCAACCCCCTTCCTCAAGGAATTCACAGACTTGTGGGGATGACAGGTATTCAGATTATTATACTACAATGTGGTAACTCTTACGGTAGAGGTAAGAATAAAGTGCAGGGGGAAATAAGAGAAAGTCAAGGACCCTTTGTGTTACAGGCGTGTGTTTATGTGGTAAGACAAAAGAATAGAATATTGCCAAGTTCTTTTCAAAATCTGTGAATTTGCTCTCCCCTTAAGTGGCCTGAGGACCTCTGAAAATGGCTCGCTATTCACTTGACCCAGAAAACCCCACAAAATCATGCAAAGCAAGAGGTTCAAATCTTCATGTTCAATTTAAAAACACTCGTGAAACTGCCCAGGCCATCAAGGGTATGCATATCTAAAAAGCCACCAGTTACTAAAGGATGTCACTTTATAGAACGTGTGTCATTCTGTAGTTACAATGGTAGAGTTGGTAGGTGAGCCCAGGCCATACACTGGGCATGAATGCAGGGCTGGTGGCCCAAAAAGAGCACTGAATTTTTGCTGCACATTTTTAAAAATGCAGAGCAATGCTGATGTTAAGGGTTTAGAGGTAGATTCTCTGGTCTTGAGCACATCCAGGTGAACAAAGCTCCCAAGATGCAGTATAGAACCTACAGAGCACATAGGTGGATTACCCCATCCATGAGCTCTTCCTGCCACATTAAGATGATCCCACTGAAAAAGAGCATATGGTTCCTAAACCAGAAGAGGAGGTTGCACAGTAGAAAAAAAATATCCCAGAAAAAACTGAAGAAACAAAAACTTATGGCCTAGGGGATCCAGAATGGCTGTGGAGTAGGTAGAAGCTACACACCTCCTCCTGGCACCAAACTGGATTTACAGCTAAATTATAAAGCAGTCAACCTGAATGATCAACTGAAGGACAGCTGGACAGGAGTATTATATCCAAGGATTTATAGAAGCTATAAATCTGGTAAGAAGGGAAGAGGTGTGGAGAGGGCTGGCCTCCATACCCAAGTGTGGTGGCTGAGAAGTCAGAGGGATATCTTGGCTGCAAAAGCCCCCTCTGAAGAACATGGGGTCTCAATCCCATGCTAGGAACCACAAACCAAAGCACCAGGACTGGGAAATAGAGCCTGCATAGCATCTGGCAGTGAAAATCAGCAGGGACTCTGTTTACCAGGAAGAGGAGGAAGTCTGCTAGAATCACAGGTGCTCTCCTAAAGGGCCAGTGCACAGGAGCTTGCTCTTGGGCACTCACTTGGGGCTCTAGTTGAAGGAAGGTAACTCAGGGCATATAGGAGTCATAAAGAGAAGATGTGGGTGGCGTGGCCCTAAAGAGAAATCTGAAGGGTAGGCTACTAAGGTCCTGAGTCAACATCCCACACCGCCCTCAGGCTCCATCTCCCAGGGTTGGGCACTTCTGTTCTAACAGCACCAGCTGGGAGAGTACACTAACCTGGTCCTCCAAATACTGGCAACACCACCCTGCCAAGCTTGAGCCTGGCAGAAAGGACTGTTGGCTGTGCCCAACAGGGACCTGTGGTGTGCTATTTTTCTGGAGAAACTATAGGCATAAACTCAGACAGTCATTGAACTGTGTGGCTTTGGAATGAAAGCCAATATTTCCCCCCTACCATGTAGTAGGCGCCACTTGTAACAGAAGACTCCCTTGATGTTTTTCCAGGTCCCTGTCCTGCTGAGCTCAGTTCCATGGGGGGAAGGGAGCACAGCTCAGAGCTGGGACCTTCAGTGTGTTTCCCTCAGAGCCTTCTGTCAGGGTCTCTAGCAGCATGGCTATGGATCTAGGGGGAGGTGTGGAGGTAGCTCCTCTCCCATGGGTCAGTGCCAACCCCCAGTGGAAGGCTGCCTTGATCTGTTTTCCCAAGTCCTGGTGGCTCTGTCCTGCTGAATTCAGTTTCACTGGGGGGAGGGAACATTGCTTAGAGCTGGGACATTCAGAGTGCATCTCTCAGAGGCTCCAGTCTGGAGCTTGAGCAGGCATGGCTACAGAGCTAAGGGGAGGAGTGCAGCTTGCCATCTCCTGCAGCCCAGCAGGTGTCACCCCCAATGAAAGGTTTTCTTGATATGTTTGCCCAAGTCCTGGTGGCCCTGCCCAGCTGAGTTTGCTCCCAGAATGGAGACAGCTGGTTGCACCCAACCTGAACCTGTGGCGTGCTCCTTGTAGTGGAGCTAGAGTTGGAGACTCTAGCAGAGACAGAGTAGTATGGCTCTGTAGTAGGGGCCACATTCTCCCCATTGAGTGCCTGATCATGCTGCCCCAAAGTAGGGGATGACTAGCCCCCTCCACCTGACCAGGTTGCCTTGCCCAACCAAGCTTGAGCAGTGTAGAAGAGTCAGTGGGGAGCAGCCAGATTGGGCCAACTCTACAGCAAATCTTTATAAGAATCTGGAGGAAGTCCAGGCAACCTCAGGGGTGTGGGGGAAGTAGACAATAGGTGGATGCTCACCACAGGGAACCTTGGACTTTTACTGATCTGCCCCCATCTCAGAGCTGCACAAAGCCTGTCTGATACACAGCCAGCCCCTCCCATACACACCCAGGCCCAGTAGATGCATCTACAAATAGTGAACAGTGTGGTAGCTTTAGACAGGTAGCCCAAAGCTGGCTATACACAACTTCTGACATCTACCTGCACTGGAACCCTTGGTCAAGTGGACCTAGGACCAATGCAATCAGTGGTGGGCTTCAAACCACACCATATCTCAACCCAACTAGCCACACAAATAGCACAGCCAAACAGGAACTGCAGAAGGCTCTAGACCTAGTCAGGAAAAACTCCACCTCAGGGAGTAGCTCCTGAACAGTGACTCATACACAGTGAATGAGCTCTATCCTTATAGTCAGCCAGCCTGAGGGTTAACATTACCTACAAATGGGCCAACAACATTCAAGACTCAACTACAACAGGAGAGGGCACATAACTCACACAAGAATCATTTCTGGAGCACCTAGCTCAGGTGATCTAGAAAACTCTGCCACTGAGACCCACAAGGCACCTATATTAGAAAGCCCTCATAACAAGCTTGGGAATTATAGCAGATCTACCTAATACACAGAGACAAACACAAAAAGACTGACAAAATGGGGAGACAAAGAAATATGAAAGAATAAGAAAAATGAAAGAACAGGAGAAATCCCCAGAAAAATAAATAAATAAAATGGAAGCAACAAAGATAACAGATGAAGAGTTTAAAACAATGATTATAAGGATTCATAAGGACCTTAAGGGAAGAATGGAGAACTTTAACAAAGAGATAGTAAGCATTAAAAAGGAACAGAAGCCAAAAGCAAGCAAACAAACAAAACCAGTCAGAAATGAAGAATACTCTACAAGGAATAAACAGAAAGTGAGATGAAGCAAAGGATCAAATCAGTGATTTAGAGGACAAGCTAACAGTAGCATCCAAGCACAGCAACAAAAAGAAAAGAGAATTTTTTAAAAAATGAGGAAAGTCTAAGGGACTTCTGGGACAACATCAAGCATGACAGCATCCACACCATAGGGGTAACAGAAGGAGAAGAGAGT